GTCTGGGCATCTTTGCTTAGACTGCTGCCCCCGCGACCCGGTCCCGGATAAGAGGAAGAAAATGGATGGATGGATGGGTCAGTGTTTGCTACCTGTGTTGACAGCACTTCCATCGGCGCTGTAGTCTATCTCTGGCTCACTGACGTTAGCGTCCCGGATGGTCTTGTTCTCCCCATCCTCGTCCTCATTGTCGCTGCCCTCATCCTCACTGCTGCTGTAGTAGTACTGCAGCTTCTCTCCCAATATCTTGTCATCCAGAGTCGTCATGGCAATTGCTCACCTAAGGGAAGCAGCAGGGGAAAGTGTGTCTGTTAACAACATGTCAAATATGATGATTTAGTCCCTGATTTCATCATATATGAGAGCAACTATTACTTTTGGTTTTTTGACAGGACAACAGGCTAAGAAATTTCACATCTGTTTTGGCTCTGGGAATTCATGATGTTTTTTTTTCTAGGTCACAGACTGAACGATTAATGTAAACAATCATCAGCTGTAGCCCTATATTTGACTAATAATTTGGATGTGCATGGCCACTGATAGGGACATGCTGCCATTATTTGCTTTATCTTTCAGTGTTGCCGTCTCATGGACAAAACCTTTTCAGATTAACAACAGTTTCATCACATTAATAATTAGTCACTGAAGCATAATAATCCAAACTGACAGCCATCCAGGCTGAGATAAGATATGGAGGACTTATTTCAAAAACAGGGCATCTACATTATTCATGGCTTATACTAAGTGTGCCGATTATGTAACTTGTGCTGAAAGGCTTTTAATGATGCACTGAGAATGTAAACCTGCCCATGTGCACAGATGGAGAGACAAGGAGGCAGGCCTTTGTTAAAAGTTCTTGTTTGATTTGGTTGCTATTTGGTGACAACAAAAATAATACCTCTGGAGCGAGGCAACACCTGTGTGACAGCTGCCATAACGTTAGCAAGCTATTAACAAGTGTTACTGTTATTTCCTCAAGTACTTCAACGCTACTGGAAAGACGATAGAGACAACCCAGTCAGCTTATTTATTAAATAGGACAAGGGCCAACAAACCGGAATTGCTGGCGTTTGTGATAGTGAACTAGGTTAGCGTTAGCTGAGCTACAGTTAACTGAGCTAGATTTCTGACTGACTG